TTGATACTCCCGAAGTATAGAAACCACGGTGGCGGACACCGGAACGTAGTATGTCTACCAGGTTAGCGTTAGGCAATAATTTTGTTCCAGTTTTCCTTATTTTAGTTCTATTACGAGTTCGAGGACTAGACAAGTGACTACTGTAGTATTTGTACCTAAAAACTATGGCCTAACCTGGTACACAATTGCGCAACTGTTAGAAGTGTTCAAGGCTAGGTAAAATACGTGAAATGTTGGACTGTTTCAGCAAATTTGTGCTTAATTTTGTGTATAAATCACTTAAGACAGCAAACTTGCACGTTGAAATACTTTTGTTGCCATTTTGATCTTTCACTGGGGCATTATCGAGGCGACGGCTGGTAAAACAGTGTTTATTTGTTACGTATTGTAATCCCGGAATCGAGCATAAAAGCATGTAATGTAGAATTAGTTGTATCTTGGAATAATAATAGACAAAATTATTTAACTGCCGTTCTGAAAAATTTCTTAATTGTTGCTCCTTGCCTCAGTGTTTTTCGCTTAACGCTGCGGTGGAGTGATATTTGTATGAAACCATTGACATAGCAAACACCTTTTACGCGAAATACCAAATTTTCTGATTTTTTGTATTATATTGTTTTTCATAAATAGTTCAGTTCTATTGCATATTAACTTAGTATTTCGCACACTTGGAATATGGATTTTGGTGCTAATGCCCGAATATTGACCTTGCTGGTTATTTCATTACTGATGCTGTTGCGAGCTGTCGATATGGTTGCATGCCAAGGAGAAGGAGGAATGGGGGGAGCGATAGTAGCAGGTAAGCAGAGTTGTTAATGCTGAAGTTACGCAAAGCAGTTGTAACGCACGGATTGGAGTCTCGAAACTGCGCTACGTTTATACCCAACCGCTGTCAAGTACCGCGCCCGGTTCTCCTACAATTTGCAGTGCAAACTCGTAACAATCAGTCCCCACTCACAGTCTTGAACCACTGAAATTTTGAACCCCAACACCTCAGGAGATCACACGAACTGAAAGAACTTTGTTGTAATATTCCGCTTGAAAATCGACAGAATAGTACGTCAATAACACTCAAAATGCACACAAAGTTTGATTCAACTAACGTTAAATATGACTTATGAGTTTGTGGCTCAACTAACTATGAGTTTGACTAATACATACAGAGTTAGAGTTTGTAGACACAGGGTTTGATTTCAAATATTGATAGATTTCGGGATTAAATAATTAAATGAAATACAGAATAGTAGATAAGTATTAACACACAAATAATCCCAGCCTATCCTATATACTAACATATTGATTCCCTACTAGATAATATAACTAACAGCAATCTAAAACGATTAATATTACATGCACTCCTCTAAAACCTAAAAAGACCGACAAAACAGATAACAGCAGATTGCGACATAACTAGCTCGCCTCGCTCACGCACAACAGAGAGCAATACAAGATACTAACAATAGAGCAGGAGTCGTCGTCGGTCAATTGCCGCAGCCAATAGCGTGCAGGACAAACATATTGCACCGTAGCTAATCTCACTCTCTCGAATACAATAAAGAAATACATAAATGCGACCTGCGTCCATTACAAGAGTGAAATCAGCATGTTTTAAAAGAGTATGGAATAGGAGAGGGTATGGCTCGGCGGTGTGGTGCATCGTGCTGAGCGTTAGGAATACGCTCGCCACCGCATCTCTGATTACCATGATTACCCTTCATGGGTGCGCGGGCTCGATTCCCGTGATCATGTGCGAGAGGATTGCTGGACTCCTCGCCGTCGTAGGGTGGTTCACCATCAAGTCCATGCTTCCGAAAACAAATAACTGGCTAACTGATCCCATACCCGACCTGGACTGGTAACCGGACGGGAGGCCGTGGTTTGCCATATGATTAAGCCGTCTCATCGGCTTTCCTATCACCCGGATAAATAGGTAAATCCTATGGCGAGAGCTTTAAAAACGTTTCGGCAAAGCGACATAAAAAAGATATAAAATATGGGATAGAAGGGTAGGATTTACATATTTATCCCGGGGGAAAGGAAAGCTGATAGGACGGCTTAATCATATGGCGAACCACGGCCTCTCGTCCGGTTAACATTCTATGTCGGGTATGGGATTTATTTGTTTTCGAAAGCATGGAATTGATGATAGTGGATGCCCTAACCGACCTGCGGTTACATGAACCACCCTACGGTGGCGAAAAGTCCAGTAATTATCTCGCACATAACTATCCTCGCATGGGATGCGCAGAGTAATCAGAGGTGCCGTGGCGAGCGCATTCCTAACGCTTAGCACAATGAGCCACACCGCCTCGCCCAATGAAACTGAAATCATTCAAAATTTATGAGTGGGTTGTTGCCCGAGTTCAAAATTTTGTTGGTCAAACAGAAAATTGAAATCCACCTCGTTATCATTGGTTGAAGAGAATATCATGTTTTGCCAACTTCAAATGAAACTTTCCACAACATCTCGATTTAATTTTGTATTTTCAACAGGCTTCGTGGAGCAGCTGGAGAATAAAATCCTTGAAGAATAATGAGGTGACCTTATAATCCAAACTTTCTATTTCTGGCCCACGGGACCAAATACATAAATACCTATTAAATTATTTTTTTTCATTTCAGCTGTTATGCCTGGAGATCAAAATATGCATGGAAATATATTGTGTATAACATTATTTCAAATGTATCTGAGAGGCAATAAATAAGAGTTGTATCGAAATAAATGGACTCATGATTTGAATCAATATGGGTAAATTCAACTTTTATGTGTATACAGTGCAAACGGCCAATGAAAATTTGTTGGTACTCTTGTAGTATGTGAACCAAGATGGCGGACGCCGGAACGTAGTAGGTGGACCAGGTTTGGGATAGGCAATAATTTCAGGTAAAAATACTAATAGAGTCACTTGGCTAAAATAAGGAAAATTGGAATAAAATAATGACCTAACCTGATACACATACTACGTTCCGGTGTCCGCCATCTTAGTTCACATACTTCGGGAGTACCAAATATTGAATACAAATCTCTTCACTTGATGTCCGAACTAGCATATTGATACACTTTGTTTACACCCACGATCATTTACTGTGGCCCAATCTTGGAACTTGTGTCGCCTGATAGCTGGATGCCTTAGAGGAAAATGAGAGAAACATTTTACCGAGAAAACAGAATACAAAGAGAGAGAAAAAGAAAGTTGGAATAGAGGAGCGAGAATATGGTATCTGAAAATAAAAGAACATTACACTGTATGCTATGCTTGTTTTTGTAACGACGGTTCAAAGTATACAAACTAGCTTTTAAGTAGGAAAATAAATTCAGAATTTAGAGTTTTTGCATTTTTGTTGGAACATGAGACGGTTTTTCGAATACTTATGTTTTGTCAAAAGAAAATTTCAGACTCTGGAGGTTGACCAGCGTTGGAATATCAGAAGGAAACTAAAAATTACTAGTCAACTGAGATCTCTTCAGGTCTACTTAAAAATCGATTGTGAGTTCTCAAATACGTTTAGAGGACCTCCTGAAATATGCGAATCAAGATGGCGCACAACCTGACTCAGGTTGTGTACCAGGTTGGGGTTTAGGTTATGCGACATCTTGGTGAGCATCCTCCAGGAGTACCCGTTTAGAATTTCAGAACTTTTATATATTCAGCCTCATTTATAAAGAGAGAGTCCGTGTCATTTTGTCCTTTCCTTTTTTTCGAATAAAGTAGAAATCCAGTTCTAACTTTCCGTAGGCTAAAAAAATATTATATCGCGCAAATGGTTATCGCTCAAAATGACCTGCTTTCATAAAGCCTTCCCTCTATCACTCCAGCGAAATGTTAGCGAAATCCTGCTGCCCGAATACACGATGGCATAAAAAGTGTTTTTCAACAAAATTTAGTACTTGAATAAAATTTGTTAAAAATCGGCAATGGAGGCAGACATTTTTTTGTATATAAATACATTTCCAATCTCTACTGATAAATAAAGTTATGCGCTCGTAATGCGTGTAATGTACGATGCAAATTTCTCAAGTGTTAACTTTGCTTTTGTGGCAATAAATCTCACTCGCTCTCTCAAGAAGAGACAATTCGTATAAGGAAAACACTATTTTATGATATCGTGAATTTTGCAGCAAGATTTCGCTAGCATTCCGTTAATATGTTAGCGGCAAAATCATCAGCTGGCTTAAATTAATTGTGTTCCCAAGTAATAAAATACTTTGCAATCCTATGGGTATATTGGAATAATGGATATATAATGTAGTGATTCTTACTATCCGATAACATAAAATTAAAATACAATGAATGTCTGCGAGTAATAATTTCAAAATTATAAATAAATTAAAAGTATTTTATTCAATATGGGAACATCTCGCAAATCGCTCGCGAAGAGCAGATAGGGACAATAAAACAGTTCGGATTAGTATTCGAGTAGCGTAGCGGCGTTCAATCAATTCAACATATTTGTCTCTGGGGGGAGGAAAGTTGACAAGACGGCTTAATCATATGGCGAACCACGGCTCCTCGTCCGGTTAGGAATGGGATTAGTTCTTTTGTTTTCTGATGCATGCATTCGTCACTACTTTGCAGCTTTGTGTGAGGGATAGTTAGTTTATTTAAATTCTGTGATAGAAGAAGGATAGAATTTTCATATTCACAGATTTATTGGGGAAAAGGAAAGGGATGAGATGGCTTAATGAATCATATGATGAACAAAATTGCCACTCCAAGTCGGGTCTGGTATGGGATTAGTCGGCCAGTTGTTTGTTTTTGGAAGCATGGACTTGATGGTGGAGGAAGCAGTTTGGTAACCGACCAGCGCTTCGAGGAGTCCAGCAATCATCTCGCATATAGACTAATCGTCTCCGCATGGGATTTGATTCTGCGAACCCATGCAAGGCAATCAGAGATGCGGTGGCAAGCGTATTCCTAACGCTTAGCACGATTCGCCACACCGCCGAGCTGTAATACACATAAATTAAAAATAAAAAAGGTGCTTCTTTATTTTCCTATAATTCAGTAATTACTTAGCTATAAGCTCGGAAGTGCGTAGAAGCAGCAATGTATTGAAAGGAGCTATATTTTGGTAGATATCATCGTAGTGGGCCCAGTATTCAACGGACGGATTCTTGGACAACAACAGGTGATTATTAACGCAACTCACTTTAACATACTGACATAAACAGTTGTTTCTGTTTCATAAAGAAATTGCAAGACTTTCATGATCATGATCAAACTGATCATTGATATGTGGGTATTGAACTACCAACGATTTGCTTAAAACTGTCAATTATTTTTTTTGGCCAATAAAACTTAAGAGCTTCAGAGGGGGCCACAAATAATGAATATGATTACGAACCAGCGGAATGAGATTTTTACATTTATACCAGAAGAACACAATTATATAGTGAGCTACAGCTCCTTGTGTTTTTGCAAACGCATATCAAGCCAACTGGATACTTGTTTCAAATGGGCTTCATGGTAAAGGAAGTAACCAATCAGCAATTATCTGAATCACAACTTAAATCCAGCCATCCTCCCACACATAATGAAGTACGGCACACTATACAGATTGGGTGACATTGTCTCGTTTCAGAGAAACCCTATTTTGCCGGTGATCAGACACCCCTCCTTTGGGAGACGTTTGGACATTGTTGTCCCTCAATATCTGTAAAAATACAGTATAATAAAGTTACGCAAAATACTACAAAGAAGCGCAATCTAATAACGTCATCATTGATTTCTCGAGAAAAAATAATCCGATTTACCGAAGAAAAAAAAATATAACGTGGCATTCGATAGTTTTTAGCAAAAAACGGCAATTTTGGTCACGAGACGGCCGCGATTAATTAAAATTATTATTGAGACAAGCATGGCACGATATGACACATCTGACGTGGTGCCAGACGCCCCTCGTTTGTGAGACACGTTGAGTGTTTGTTTTATTGAACCAAATGGAGGGAAATTCTAGTAATTTGGATAGTGTGCGTACTGTAATGGGCCCTCACAGGCTTTGACCTTGCGAGTATATAAGTATAAATTTATTTCGACTCCATAATCAGCATAACAGTCAATAAAATGATTGATAAAAACAAATAAATGAAAACTGATTATGAAATCCTTTTTTTCGAATAAAGTCGAAATTCATATGCAGGATAATCAATGGGAGATGCGAGAGCAAGTCTGTTTTTAGTGCTTAGCATGTTCATAACTGGCTATTGTTTCTTAGACAAATACTATGTTTATTTTATATTTTGAAATATTGGGACAATTGTGGAATCTAAGATATGCGGTGTAGGCATACTAATCAGTGCTGCCATTTCATTTTACAATTAAAACGTTTTATCCATTTTACACCCAAATGCAAACAACGCCCATGGCACGAGATGCGGCTCCCATGTCCTAGATATGCCACTGGATATTAGTGAAACTGTACCGAAAATAACATTTCTATATTTCCTCTCCCAAAACTATCAAATTTGTCATTGGGAAGGAAGTCCTCATTAATTAAGGAATGCTAAATTAGGTAGAAGTGAAACTGCACTGAAGTTTATTCGGTGTTAAAAACTTAATATTCCTATTCATTATATTCCTATTCGTTTTATATTCCCAATCAAAACTTGAAATTGCAGATGAACTATGACCTCCCCTTCTGGGAACAACAATCATGTATATTTTGTTCGACACAGAAGTCCTCGACAGTAAGTTCAGTTTTATTTACTCCACTAGGAAGTACAGTTTCGATCACTATGTTAGGCAGGGCTGTGTTATTCGGGTCTAGTATAGTTTAATACCACAAGTACTTCCGGTCGGCGCAACGAATTTCGCATATGTTATTCCCAACCCCCACCTGACTATGTCATCTAAAAATTACGTCACTATGACGACCAACTGGATTTACATGTCAGCATGTGGTACTAAAATATGCCAGACCTGTGCGGCTTTACTCACTTCGCTAATCAGGGCAGTGTAATTTTATATATTACGGAGAGAGAGAGGGGGATTATATTATCGCAAACAATGTCAACACACCGATACATTTGAAGTAACAGAAAATAAAAAGAATATCACCATAATTGGTTGATTATTAGTTGTGAAGTTCAGTTAGGGCACTAAGGCTCCTATCTCATGCTGTCAATCAAATATAGCATCAGCTCTAAGTCGAATCTAGGTAAAAAAAAATTCTTGCTTCAACATTAGTTCCCATCTCTAAAGTTTTGCTAGCAAAACTCCTGCATATGCAATCCCTATTTAATTGTCTGTTGTGAATTCTTATACAACTCATTGCTATTTGAGTTTTGACGTAAATTCTGAAGAATTCAGTATTATGACTCTCGACTTTGAATTCAATTCTAATATAAAGATGTGTATTCCTGATGGTTAGCACGATGCGTCACACCGCCGAGCCCACCACCTACTTCGTTCGGCTTTCGTGTCCATGTATTCGAGCATTGCTCTTTTGCTTTTTTTTTTATGATGCGCATGTTGACGAATAAATAATTCATTGCTTTCACAGAATAATTCAACGTTCATTGAGTGTTGGAGGACCTGTGTATAATAGGGTAAGAAATCTAGTATTCTCTTTTATATATATTTTACCAAATCCTGATTACAAAAAGTGAGGCTATAAAAATTAAGTGGATGACCGGTACTGCTGTAGTATATGTACCAGGTTAGGGTTAGGCCATAATTTTATTCAGATTTTTCTTATTTTAGTTCTATTACGAGTTCGGGGATGGTATGTGTTAGTCAAGTGAATATACCCCCTATACCCAAGTTTCAGTCCCTTTACACAACTTGATGTAAAGTAGGCGAACAAAATTAGTTACCTCCACATTGGTACACATACTTCTGAAGCGCCGGCCCATCCTTGGCCCAGGGATGAGAATATTTCACTCTTCCGAATGCATTCTTATAAGATATTTTTGAATATGGAATACTGAATACATTCTAAATTGGGGGCATGTTCATGTGGAAATCACATAAATCACTATATCTTCATCTTGATCACATCTAGAATGGCACAAATATAAAGGTCCTTGGTTTCTCTGTGTTGTTTGTTTTCAGTTGAGATATTGCACGTTTTGATCTGTTTGTCTGACTGCCTAAACTTCTTGATTTTTTAATAAAAGTATTCTAAATTATTCATAAATTCAAAAATTTACTATATTGAATATAATGAATTTCGGATGTGTTCGATTCATTTTGGTTATTCCATGGTGGACCTGAATCATTTAGATTGAAAAGCTTGGGAAAATGTATATACTATTTCAAAACTTTTTTTAAAAAAGCAACTCTAAAGGATTGGAGAAAATTTCGAGGTTTAAACCATATTTTGATAAGACTTTTGGCGTGTGCGAATCCAATAATTGTTTGTTGTAAATTACCTGATTAAATTACCGAATATCCTTGCAAGCCGAGTTTAAAACTAAAAAAAAATTTGCCAAACTGAGTGCTTATACTTACAAGCGCATAATTCTGATCAGACTAAAGCAACCATTTGTTGTGATAGGTGTGTAGAGCGTGTTACTATTTGTAGGGTCGGCTTAAATATGGAAATTTTTATAAACTAATTCATCGTTTTTGAGCTGTTTCTAACGGGTGGTTTATAAGCGATGATTTACGGTAATGCTTTTTGAGTTTTTGCCAGAAATTTGATTATCGCTGTCAAATATCTGAAATTTGGCCTATGGAAAATTTTGATTTTGACCCCCGACCACACATTTGGTTTTGACATCAATAAAATCATGCCAATCTGTGACTTCACGTCATTCTCAGAATTACTATATTTTATATCTATGCAGCAAATTGTTCAATCTCCATCACAAGTGGGCAGCACATCATCTTTACTCATATCAGCAAGCCCTCCTCAGGCTTTCCGGCTCCCCATGTCACAGTCTCAACGTTTTTCGCCATACCCTGCAAATAGGAGAGCCAGATGTAACTCAGACGTTGCCCCCTCTGTCATTGTGATGCCGAGTGTTATCCCGATAAATTCACGACTTCCAAGAGTCAATGTTTGTCAAGTTTCATCTGTGCGAACTATCACACCAAACACAGGTTAGTATTTATTTTTATTTCGTATTAAAGATGTAAAAAATTATCATCTGTCTTCGACTCAAACTGTAAGCTAGTCGTTCTCAATCAGTGGGGCGCTCCCCACAAGGAGGGGGGGAGCCAATTTTTTAAGGGGTCGTTAAACTCAAAACATTTTGTTAGATTCAATCTTGCCCGTCTTATTTTGGATATTTACATTTCTTTATTGTTAACATTTCCTCATTATGTAGGCTAACGTATATTTAGAACAAGTTTTTCAAATAAAACGTAAGTATGTTGATAGGTATTTGTCTGTATGTCTGTTTGTCTGTGTGTTAGATGCACGCGATATCTCACGAAAGCGAGGTTGAATCTGCTCCAAATTTTGCATGTGCCTTCATCATAGCTCGGATCAGAATTGATTGATTTTGGATCCTATTGATTTTGGATGGATTATGTCGTGTAATTAGCGAGTTATTAATTAATTAGTGATGGGACACACGGTGTCACTATGGAGTAAGACCACTGTTTTGGGGATCCCCTAACCTTGCGTCATTTAAAAAAAAATTTGGTCTCCATGTTGACAAAAATTTCAACTCTGGTTCTCGATTTTATCTTGAGGATACGGTTACCACTTTATTGCCTGTTGAAATCATATAGAATTATAGTGTTGCAATGTGCACCAGTATATTGCACAGAGGCATGTAAAGAGGAAAACTATTGTGTATTTGATTTCAATACGTATGGAAACTGTTTAAACGTGTCATTCTGGTCCTTTCAAACTGTAGCTACTTTACTAACAGTGACTGCTTATATAGAGACTTATTTTTACTAAAAGGCAAAATGGGAAACCTCATGAATAAAACGGAATATGTCACTCAAATATACACAAGAATGTTATGTTTCTTCTTATATAAACAGTTTACACGAACTCTGCTTCATTTTATTTCAATAATATGATGTATTCCAGTGGATTTCCAACCTTCAATGGCTCGCGGCTCCCTTCCTGGGGCTTTTAGCTCTCACTTTCCCCTGTTTATCATCCCATGGTATTTATAGTGTTATTATGATTGGTAGATTCCATCTCCCATTATGTTCAAACAATTCATGTTCAACAAAGTGAAAATACTAACCTTGCCAAGTAATGGAACTAGGATGAACGGGAAGTAAAGTGAAAAGTAAACTCAGTTTTGCTCTTCACATTGTGGCCCCCAACAACTGGCCTGTGGCTTATTTGTGGAGGTCATGGGCCCTGGATCAGGCCCCCCACAACTGGTCTGTCGCTCCTTTGGGGGGGAGGTCTTGGGCCCTCGATCAGGCCCCCTACAACTGGCCTGTGGCTCCTTTGAGGAGGTCATGGGCCCTCGATTGGGACCACTACAACTGGTCTGTGGCTCCTTTGAGGAGGTCATTGGCCCTCGATTGGGCCCTCTAGAACTGGTCTGTGGCTCCTTTGAGGAAGTCATTGGCCCTCGATTGGGTGTCCTGCAACTGGCATGTGTCTCCTTTGGGGGAGAACATGGGCCCTCAATTAGGCCCCTACAACTGGTATGTGTCTCATTTGGGGGTCTATAGGACCCCGATTGGGAACAGCTGATATATTTTATCTTGTCATTCTTAGGAATTCGAGCGTCACCCAGAGCAAAAGGGGGAGTGTCTGGGATCGGGCTGCCTGTGAGGAATGTGACTTCACACGGTGCTGTGAGAAAAGGAAATATTCAGGTTGGTAATTATGGGCATGGATTAGCTTGTTGTTATTTTGGCTACGAATAAGGCACAGTACAAGTTTCAATGATTAGGTAACAAGGCTCTTTATTTTGATATCCAGGATCTTCTGTTATAGTTGAAACCATAGCTTGGAATTTTCAAAGGGAGTGGGGGATTGTGACATTTCTATTTGCCAAATTAGACTGTAATAAGTGGGTATTCAAAAATGTTGAAAGTTTAAAAACCATTTCTTGAAAGAGGGTTCCCTGGCTGGTATTGCCTACCTATATTAACTAATGATTGACCAATGTATGGTAATTAGTGATTATTCCTATCAGAACCAGCAATTTCCCAGAGTACGACTCAACGCAGAGAAGAATCATAGAGAGAGTACTGGGTAAGTTGAAGCCAAACATTAAGGTTGACTATAGAATAAGAGGGGCTCCCGAAGTATGCGAACCAAGATGGCAGACTTTGGAATGTAATATGTGTACTAGGTTAGGGTTAGGCCATAATTTTAGGTATAAATACTACGGGAGGCTCTTGGCTAGTCTTCGAACTGATAATAGGACTAAAATAAGGAAAATTGGAAAAAAATTATAGCTTAACCCTAACCTGTTACCCATGTTACGTTCCGATGTCCGCCATCTTGGTTCGCATACTTCGGGAGCACCGAATAAGAAATCATTGCTATGAATTGAAATGCTCTTTTCCACTCTTTATTGCCAGGTTCAGAAATTCTATTGACTAGTCTAGTTGCAAATATTAATATTTAACACTCCGGACTGAATTCCGTGTCTATTATTCCCATCACCAGGTGGGGTAATTGCAATTTTGCGGGCCATATTCCTCCTCAGTGTGAAATTTTCTGTTCTTTGTGGGAAATGTTTAGGACAGGGGTAACATGTATTTCAGACCAGAGGCTAACAATTTTGCTCACCTAGACTGGCAGGCTATGTAAGTGTGACGTGAAAAGATACATTTCATGAACAATATTTACAGTGTTGCAAAAGTGGAAAACAACCCTCGTGCCAAAAATAAATTTAACCGTAATTTCAACAAATTCCTTGAGCAATTTTTCAGCTAAAACATCTAAATTTGGTTTATTTTGGTTGCGGCGGCATCAGGCTGCTAAACTGAATTACTCAACGGGCTGGATTAGGCCTACCGGCCGAAGTTTGGCCATGTCTAGGATGTCCATAGGAATGAGATTTTCAAACTTTTAACTCTCTGTAATTCTCGACACATTGAAAAAAAAATTCATTCGACTTTATTATGACGAAAAAAGTTTAATAATTTGAGCTCTGTTATTTATTATTTTTATTTTTTTCAGAATTCCGTCATCCAGTTTTTATAATGGGGGCACCTCTGGAGAATCTGATTTTTCACGTTTCTTGAAAGCAACTTGTGAAGTAAGTAGTGTGATTAATTAATCAATATATATGAGCTTTAGTGGGTTATTAGCTAGAGATGGGCTGTTCAGAGCAGGGGCATTGTCTAGGGCAGGGTGGTCCAAGGTTGTCGGCTCCGCGGGCCACAAAATTATTTTTGCATTGTTCGCAGGCCACAATAGTGCCAAGAATAGGTAAACAGTGAAATACAAAACAAATAATTTTATTGTGCAAACACATAGTTATCAGACATAGCCATTCTAGGCTAATAGAATCCGCATTCGATTTTTAGTTTTCTATGATGCCTATATTGTTAGCACATATTCCCGACCAAAAAGATGGACAGCCAGATAATAATTTAGACTGCCAAGCACATCATTCAACTTCGCTAGTTGCCTCAGTTAGCCATAACACTAGTCAATTCAGTGACATTAGTGATGTAACAATATGGCAAAAGATTTTTCTGATTAATTTTATTACGAAAACAAAATGCGTTTTTTTGATAACTCTCCGAATGTGACGCGGGCCACAGATAATAAAGCGGCGGGCCACATGTGGCCCACGGGCCTGGGTTTGGACCACCCTGGTCTAGGGGGAAGTTGGGTTGAAGTTCGCTCTCCCCCCCCCCTCCCTTTTTCAAATCTAAAAAAAAAAAAAATCTTTGTTATACATTTCAATTTTTCGTAGCTTGAAATGCTTTTCAGACTCTCAACACTCTTGGAATCCCACGTTTTTCGGACCCGCTGTCTAACTTCGCACTTTGAAATATCAGAATCCCCCCATTTTGATAATTCCTGGCTATCGCCCTGGTTCACCATTTGGACCAGTGTTCCCTCTAAAGTGTATGTGTGTGCGCGTGCACACAGCTTTCAGAGGCTGCGCACACGCATAGATTTACTGCGCACAGACGTATTTCGATGTAATGTAACAATGTGCTTGGTTGGCATGTTGAGAAAGTTTGTTGTTGGCCCACTTATTACCCGGTTAGAACGCCAAAATTTCTTCATTGGATTTTGCACAAATATTAGTCATTTCCAAAAAAGTGCGCACACACCAAAATTTCTGCGCACACATACTACAAAAAATTAGAGGGAACATTGATCTGGACCATCCAAATTTCAAGTTATTCTCGTCAATAAATGGTTTCGGTCTCAACAATTTGCTCAAAATGAGGCTCTAATACAGGGGTCGGCAACCTACGGCCCGCGGAGGACTATAATACGGCCCGCGACGCTTCACCGACCCCTGCTCTAATTTATTGATGAAAGGCTGAAAACTGACTACTTTTATGGAGCTTCCAAATGAATACTTCAGAACACTTTATGAAATATATTGTCCAGCCATTATTGGTCGGCTTTTACCACTAAACCCATACAGAAATCCGGTCTATTTTTCAATATTTATAAATTTTAAAACTCTATCAGGATGTAAAGAAATCATTCCCAACTGTAGCAGTGCCGAAACCAACTACAAGAAAGAGATTGAATCTGGCAACTAAGCCTAAGAAAGCTGAGAATGGTGAGTTGACTTTTTAAAGAAGTTTTTGCTCTAAGGAAGGTTACGCGTACTCACTCAGAAGTAAAGAATGTGATCTCTGGGTGATTTATGGGCAATCAAAAAGCTGCATACAGTGGTGCTTTGCTTTCATGGCGTGTGGCCCTTTTTAGGGGGCCTTTATCACTCAGTGCTCCCTGTTTATCATCCCAGTGGTATTTTGATTGGTAGATTCCAAATTCGACTATCCCAAACGAAAGTGGGAACACCTTGTGAAATAACCTTATCAACAGTGTTCCCTCTAAGGTGTGCGCGCGCACACAGCTTTCAGAGGCTGCGCACACGCATAGATTTACTGCGCACAGACATATCTCGATGTAATGTAAAAATGTTCTTTTGTTCTTTTTTCACCCTTTATTTAAATTCAAATAAAACCATCTGTTACAATCAATTTCATTTACTATTTTCCATGTAAGTTATCTACTGATAACATATAGCCTTCACTAAAGCATTTACAATCTATAGAAAAACTTATTGAATAACCAAAATTTTCTTAATAAGCCCACTTATTACCCGGTTAGAACGCCAAAATTTCTTCATTGGTTTTTGCACAAATATTAGTCATTTCCAAAAAAGTGCGCACACACCAAAATTTTTGCGCACACATACTACGAAAAATTAACGGAACATTGCTTATCAAGCAATGAAACTAGAGTTTTTGTGGGGAGGGACTGTAAAATCAGTTTTGCGCCTAGCACTCTACCCCCCTCCCTGCTCTGTGGCCCCTTTGGTGGCCCATTTACCCCAAGCTCTGAACCGCTGGGTTAGACCATTAGACTTGTGCCTTTCTCTACTTTTAGATTAGTTGAATTGAATGCGCTCACAGCAATAAAATTTGCAAGAATCAGATATCAGAAGTAATTTTAAACCATTCAACATGGACTTCTATGATACTGAACTATTTGAAATGATTTACCCAGACCATAACCCAAAAGGGTAAAACTTAAAAAAGCTGTTTTGAGGAAAAGTGAAATGTATATATTCGACTCCTAAACTTCTTTTTAAATACTCTGGGCGAACTGCTTCAACTTTATTAGATACCAGCTAAAACAGCACTCATTTCCTTGTGATATTCTCAACAAAAAAATTTATGAAGTTCTACATCCTGAATTGTTGTTTAATATTTATGTTATATGATTGACAATCAAACGCTTCTTAATTTTAATGTTCTTTTTTTAGTTTGCATCACAATATCAAGCGACAGTGAAGACGACGCCCCTGCCCCGTCCACAAATGGTAGGCTCAATGTATTAATGATTTGAGTGAAATAAATGGGGAAGAAATGCTTTCAAAACAGCCTCCGGTTTTGTTAGTATTTAATGTTAAACTTCCTCATAGGTGACGCTACTCGATGACCATCACTTCATACTAAAATGCATTTTTCAATCATGTTTGTACAATGTATACTTTCAACATGTGATAAAATAAACTACTGACTGACGAACCTTCTTGCATATCAGTGCTTGCTTTAAGTTTCCGCACTAGTGGAGATTTTACAGTGCTCGCTTGGTAGGAAAGAGTGACGTAAGAATGCAGCATAAAAAATAATCAGCTTTCATTCACAGCTTTTTTTTGGAGCAGTTGTTCTCAAACGGCTGGACCCGCCCCACCTGGGGTGCAGAAGAAAATTTTTAGCTAATTAAGCTAATTAAAAACATTTGTTAGATTTGATCTTGCCTGCCTTGTTTTGGATATTTAAATGTCTTTACTTTAGATATTCACATTCCATTTTTTATGTATTTTAAACATGTTTTCTGATTACCGGTAGTACATATTTTTGCCTTACTATCTGTTATTACTTATCGATCTTAAGATCGGTAAGTATGTTGATAGGTATTTGTCTGTTTGTCTGTCTGTTAGATGCACGCGATATCTTACGAAAGCGAGGTTGAATCTGCTCCAAATTTGCATTCATCATAGCTCGTATCAGAAGCCTATTGATTTTCGATGAAATATGTCGTATAATTAGCAAGTTATTAATTAATTAGTGATGGGACACATGGTGTCACTATGGAGTATAAGCGCTGTTTTGGGGGATCCCCTAACCTTCGATCAATAAGTCTTCGGTCTCTGACCGATATTCTCGTTTGTAGCTCATTGTTATCTATAATTATAATTGAGGTTTGGTGCAGGATTTGGCAGATTCTAAAAAAGGGCTTCAAAAGTCTGAGATCCATTAATTTGATACTGATAATTGTATAGCATAGGACAAGAGAGTAATGCTCAGATATTTGGACACAAAGTTTAAACAACAAACATTGCTACCGCAATGGCAGCCAAATTTTAGCCGAATGTAAAGATGATTCCACTGAAAATAGAGTGAAAATACTTCAAAGCTTGAAATAAGCATAATTTTATAATTTGTACATTTTCAGCTGAATCAACTTCTCAAAATCAATCTCCACCGGCAACAACCAAAGAAAGGTAGATTTGTATTTTCATGTGACCTTTGACCTCATTGATGTATTTCAATTTAATACAGCGCTTGAGAACTTTTCATTGTAATGCAATAAATAATACATTCTTGTATGATATAGTCATCTGATATTTAAATTGAGTTTATTCAATTCGTCAAGCGATTTGTTTTATTCTTGTTTTCATATTCATTTTCCTAATGCTCATATCCAGTGGTGGGGTTCAGCCGGTTCGCACCGGTTCTATAGAACCGTCTCACGGAATTTTATGAGATAAGTGAACCGGTTAGCATTACTGATTACTGTCAATGATTTTTTGTAATAGAACCGGGGTAAAAATATGACTTTTGTGATGGAACCGGCTGACAAAAAATTGAATCCCACCACTGCTCATATCCATTTTTGTACTTCACAGTTCTATCACCGAAAACGGAGAAATGCCGCCCAAGAAAATTCGTCAGGATGATACAATAGGTAATATTAGATGTTTCATACTTATTGTGGAGGAGAGGAAAGTTGATAAGACGACTCAAACATGTGACAAATCATTTCTCATTGTCCGGTTGTCCTTCAAGTTCGGGAATGGAAATAGTTAATTGTCCCAATTTAATTAGTCAAGAGTATTTGGCTCTTTTCATCACCCCCCCCTTCATTGAATCCCCACTGCTTCTAACAAACTGCGGTAACTGATTTGATTCACGGGAGCCAGAGCTCTGAGAACAAAGAGTCGCATGCGCCTCCGGAGATGAGTCTTTGATAAATAGTTTTTCGAATTCAACTGGAGCCCCTAACACTCCTATTTACATCACAATTTACATCCTTCTTTAAATATAGGATGAGCCAAAAACGGAACTAAGGCTATTTGAAACTTTTGGGTCCCGTTTTTTTCGTGTCACCCTGTAATTGTGAAAAATCATTAATTTTCTTGTTAACTAACTAACTGAGATATTTTTCTCACTTCAGAAAAGCCAGGACCTTCTACGCCTTTAACCTCACCGTCCCAAGAACCGTCACCAATCTTGAAATCAGAAGAAGCCTTGTCGAAATTAACACTAAATCTTTCCGTAGACTCAGTTAGACTCGGACAGATGAAACTGGTTCCTAAGACTGTGCTGAGGGTTAGTTCTTGAGTTTTTTGAAACCAAGGTCACTAAGAAATAAAATTAGTCTCAAAATTACGAATGATTGATACGAGTGACCGTATATGATTCGTTCCCCCCTTTTGTAAAACTCGCAACAAGCCTTCTGCTCGTATTTAAGAATACCGTATATGCTCGTTTCACCGCCCGATCTTGATTAAGGGCCCGTTTGAATAGGCGCTCATGTGAACAGAATATAAAAATAAATAAGGCCGGTGCCTGAATACCCGCCCGATGTAAAAGCTGATTTTTCAGTGGTAGAGAACAATGGGAAATAAGAAGCGCTTTTGTCACAACGCTGTTGAATTTTAAGCGCTGGTAGATAACACTCATGCCTTAGGCATCCAATTACATAACAGATAGCATTGATTACGTAACATCATAGTTCTCAAACTGGGCGTCGCGACTCCCTAGTGCGTCGTTTCAACGTGCGTTTGACGTGAATAAATTGACATGAAAAAAGGATTAATGTCGTCAAATATTTGTCTTCGAAGAAACCGTAATTTTTGTGTATAATTTTACTTTGAAATTAACATGCGCCCGTGCTTGAATAAGGGTCGGTTGGAATAGTGGCCCGGTGAGTGAGTTGAAGGGCCCGGTGAGTGAAAAAATATGGTCCCGGGCTTCAAAACGAGCAAATACGGTAACGGTACTCATCCTTGTTGTGGATGCTTTAGTGAGAGGTTGGGAGTTCGAACAAATAAGCCAAATTTCACTCCACATAATACAAGTTTTATTAGTCTCAGGGGTGTGCAACATTTTTTGTTGGTGGCCAATATTACCAACTTAAGGCTGGGCCAGACAAAATTCAGCTGGAACGGCAAGAGAATGAGAGTATTGCTTAGCCTTGTAGTGATAAAGACACCAGGCAAAACTGCTGAAGATTCAACACAGCGACAAGAGCAAAAAAAACATATGTATTTTTACCCATGTGAGCGCATTTTGAACACAAA